TCAAATAAGCTATTTACCAAACAAGCTCAATAGCGGATTTGACGGGTCAAACCTCTCAATTAAGTCCAATCCGCTAATTTTCTTCAATCCGCTATCTTCCAAACGGGGCCAATAGCTAATAACTTCCCCTAAAAGTGACCCAAGAAGCTCGTTTGCGCCTATTTTCGTGCAATTATATAGTTAGACGAGTCCTTGTCTAATTAATAGGCGCATAAATGTCGATATTATGTTAGAATATCACTTGTGAGTTGTCCTACATCGTTTATTTAGAGAAAATAAATTCAATTTATAAGCCTAGTTGATTACTCTTCCTTTCACCAATTAATTTTGAGATGAAACTCACTTGAACTTCATCTCGATTCACCTTGTTATAACTGTGATAACTTCAAGTTGTAGTCAATAGTCATGTCAAAGAAAAGCTAGAACATATTCAATGCTTCCACTCCTAACTAAAATATAATACACACGTAAAAGACGGTGAACGTCAACAGATTCTAGAGAGCACAAAATGAAGAAAAAAAATAAAAAAATCTATACTTATATAAAGAACAGCCCTATTTACTAAAATTAGTAGCAAAAAAATAGGTCAGCATTTAATTCAACCCATAAATAGTAGTTTATTATTTTTCTTATTTTATATTTAAAAATCATACAATTTAATTTATAAATACGCTTTAATATAATCATACAATTAATCATACAATTAATCATACAATTTAATTTATAAAAATCATACAATTTATTTTTTTAAAATACGCTTTAATATATATATATATATATATATATATATATAGTACTTTTTGTAATAAATTTGAACAAAATTTGTTACTTAAATATTTAAACAATTTAAAAATTCAAATGTTTAAGTTAATTAATAAATAATTTATAAATCTCTATTTTATTTAAATATGTAATTTAATTTAAAATACCAAATTTATTTAACAAATCGTATTGATCATACCAATTCAACCGACTGGTGTTGACAGATTCAATAGAAAATATTTTATTCAAGTGAACTAGACTAATTATAAACCGGTTCTCGATCCATCCGGTCGGTCCAACATGGTTTAATTTAAAAATAATAAGTAAATCTTAATTAATTTATTTGTATATTTAATATATAACACCGGCCACACACTAGTTACATAAAAGAACCAACCAAATCTTTGAAAAATCTACTACAAAAGTCTACAACATTTTGGTACCACGGATAGGACTAGCGTTGAAATATTCCAAAGGAAATATTCATGTAGACATCACATCAATTAAAGAATTTCACTTTCTTATTGTAACAAAGTCAGCAATCCAATCTAAAAAATATTAAGTTCAATTTACTGCTTTGATATATATATTGAAATATTAAAAATAATATATTTTTATTATTTATTAGCTATCTTTTTATCTTTTTTTTTTTTCTCTTTTCGTACAAAATATATATTGTTGATGAGAAGACACGCCATAAATTTTTAATTGTATACAAAATAGTAATTGTTCATTTTATCAATTTTTTATAAATGAAACAATAAATTTTTATTAATTTTTTTTTAATTTAACACACATATCAAAATTACTATTTATATGTATATGAAAAATATATATTTCATGACTTAGTTGTATTTGTGATCAACATTAGTTAGAATTTATTTTTTCAATAACAATGCACGTTTTTTTTTTTATAGCATGAATTTACCATGTGAACATTTTTATTGTATGTCAACTGTCATTTTTTTTTTTCGATAAATAATTTCGAAAATCGGAAGGACAAATTAAAAATAAAAATGTCATGCATGTTTTTGACTTAATGCGGTTTAATAAAGTTTTACAAATATATGAATCTTAAAGTATTAACTAAAAAAAGAGAACTTTCAGCTAAAAATATTACATGTAATAATAGTGATATGTATAAAATTGATTTTTCTTTTTAAATGTGGACTTTACAATTTTGTTGATGAGTCATGTTAAGTTGTGTGCAGCTATAATACATAGTTTGATATATAATGTATTGTTGATTGAAATTTTTTATCATAGCCAATTATAATGTTTTCTTTTTTCAATAACCATCGAAAAAAATAAAAATATCGTTAAAATACGGAGAACCAATAGACATATATAGTATTGTGTATGATGAAAAGTTTCATAACCGATATGTAAAAAATAATAATTTTTGTTTGATTGAATTTAAATTTTATTTAATACCTAGCATAATCAAACTGGTCTCGCTCGTGCATGTGCACAAGTAAAGGATCATTATAAATTATAATTGTAACAGTTAAGGTTAAGTTGTAATTCGAATGGGGTGGTTCCAGCCTTTATGTCGGTTCTTGTGGTGTCAATTAACACTTGGATATACTTATTTTAATTTTTCAGTTATTCATATAATTATCGTTTGAAGAAGAAAGTTCAGTTGTATATTTGTGTAACAAATTCACCGATTTCTAGTAGGGAAAATGCCATACTAGCATGTACATTCACTAGACCCATATTTGGAGTTTATGGATGTTTAAACAATAACTATAGATAAGTTTGATTCTACCTCATGAAAACTGCATAGAGCTGTTAAGCGAAATGATTCGTTTGTGAGCTCGGTTCGACTCGTTAGATAAATGAGCAGAGCTCTCTTAAACTCGTTTCGTTAACGAATCGGGCTCGTCTCGGCTCGATAATGCTCTAAAAGAGATTTTTTTTATGTAATTTCTATTGTTCGTTCCGTTAAATTTTTCGAGATCGGTTTGTTAAGGCTCAAACTCGACTCATTAATATTGATAAACGAGCTAAACTCGAGATCGATTTTTGCTTATTTACTTAACGAAACGAGCAAAACTCGACTCGTTAAAGTCACGACCTCGACCTCGAGCACTCCAGCTCAGCTCAGTTCAGTTCAGTTCAGTTCAGTTCAGTTCATTTACGACCTATCACTTGTATAAGTGTGTGATCCAACAATTAAAAATTTAAAACCCCATTCCATAGGCATACATGTTGCATCACAATGTGAGTAGATTTGATAACCTGAAAAAAAAGAATTGGTTGGTTTCATGATGAGTACAATTCATCATGGTACTTTCTTCCTTTTAGAAAGGACACCAAATACTCGATTTTCACTGACTCGGACACGTTTCGATATTTGATTGGCTAATTAGTACCAAATATATTTAAAATTCATGAATGAAGTTAACTCTTGAAATAAATGAACCATCATTTCAAAACGATATAGAGTTAAAGAGTTCCATATGTCACAATTCTATTGGTGTCCAACGACAGTGCAAAATTGTATCAATCTACAAAAAAATAAAAAATAAATAAATAAACAAAAAAAAATAAAATTGTTAAAATTTTAGAACCAACAGCATCGCAGAAAAGAAAAAAAAAAAATTGAAACTAAATGGAAAATTTTCTATGTTGTAAACAATAGAAAATAAATGGTTTTACTATGTATTTGAGTTTGGTTCGTACAAAATCGTGCCGAACTGGAAACCGAACTTGAGTAAAATAAATAACAAAATCACGTGCACTAAATTAATCGAATTGTACTGCACCAAATTGCATAGATTTTTTTTTTAAATATTTTTTGGGGATTGTTTTAATATATATTTTATTTTAATTAATGGGGGGCCGACCCGAAATAGGCGATTCAGCAAACCCGTCCGGAGTCTCCGGTTCGCGAAACCGGTCCGTGCATATGTCGGGCCAATTTATGGCCGACCAACCATTGGCCCGGACCAACGATTCCGACCTGAAACCGAATTTGGCCATGTCTAGTCACTGACATGCTTATCTGCAATTTAATTGGAGATTTTTAACTAACCACATGTGATGTGTCCACTATCAATTTCTTTAATTAGAAATAACTAATAATCCTTTTTGGCATAGTTCCATGCTACAAGATAATCTCAGTGTAAATTTATTCTAAATAATTAGAGAAATTATTTATTATTCTTTAGGACAGTGTTTCCCTAAAAAAAGAAAAAAAAAACCAAGGCAATTTCACTATATGATTAATTAATTATTGCAATTTTCCATCAAATTTATCGTGCTTTTCTCGTGTGATCTTATGAGATTTGCAGGTTTCACGAGCTCTCAGAGTTCGACGAAGCCAAAAGAAGCTGGCAGAGGCGTTTGGCCGGCCACAATGAGAGGAGGAGAAAGAATTTTTCCGACGAAAATGCAAATTACTAAATGTTACATTTTAGGTGATGATTTTGATTTTACAAAATCTTCAAGACAAAGTTGTGCAAAATAATATGCAAAGTAGCTCCCTCTCTTCTGTCATCTCTACATTGATTACATTAGTTATTATTATGCTAAGTAAACTTTTATTGTAAACTTTAGTGGCAATTAAATATCTATTGTTGAGGGCCATATGGTATATATGGCTGTGCCACATTGTGTGACTCCAATTTGATGTGTAACTTGTAAAATAAAAGTATGGCCAATAATTCACCTTTGGGATTTATTTTTTTTGGTCATCTTTACGTGGAGCAATAGATGGCTGGTTTTGATGTGATTGATAAAGGGGTAATTGTTTATCAACTTAAAAAAAATAATAATAATAAGATCACAACTTTTAATTCAATTTCACCGTCTCTTATATTAAGTATAATTAAATGATATCAACTAACTTTTTTTTACACATTATATAAACTTTAATTCATTGTTCATCTGTTGACCACCGACCTGGTAATGCTGTTCACATGTTGATCACCAACCTGGTAATGTTGTGTTTAAATAATAAAAGAGCGATTTTAAAAAGTTGCAAGCTCATGTGTGATCAACTTATGACAACTCGGTTCAAACTGGATAAGTTTCAACTTACTCATAAGAAGAAAATCGACCTCATAAGACAACCGAGGTTTCCTTCTCCAAATCGACGTGACAACAAAACCGACCACACCGAGATCCTCAAATCCAAAGCAGGCGACACCGCATTTACGCAACGCCCCGCGTACTACACATTCCGTCATCATCTCTGTGGGCCTAACTATAGCCAACCGCCCCATAAAGTCACTTTGCATTAAATGCGGCCGTACATGCCTCGAAACACGAGCACACAAAAACTACTATAAATAGCTATGATTATTTTTGGTACAAGGATCGAATTTGGAACATTCCGTATATATCTTTACTGGAAACAACTCGGTTCGAAGAAAAAATTGACTTTGTGTACTACATAAACTCCAATATATCAAAAAGAGTTGTCACATTTACATCTTAACTATATGTTAATTACGTTGTTATAAATCGAATAACAACACCATCCACTCACATAATTTTAGCTAAATATCACTTACAATCACTTTTCTTCTACTTTTACATCAAATCAACTTTAATTATTTTATTTAAATAATATTTTTTAATTTAAACATAAATATCCACCAACCACTATACCACCTTTTTAAAAATTACCTATGATTAAAACAAATCAATTAACAACTAATTCAATACATATCCAATTACACCCTTAATACCTTGTGTTTATTTAATTAATGTATAAGTTTCTTGTGTGCTAAAATAAATAATTGGTAAACAATATAATCAAATTAGTTGCTTCATGTAGTTAAGTTTTGTTTGATTGATATTTTTTTTTTTACTTATTCAAGTGGTGTTTAAATTTAAAAAAAATAAAAAAATTAATAATTTTGGTTGAGTTAACTTATCAACTAATTTTATTAACACTTTTATTATATCATCTAGTTTTTTCATTATTATTATATACATAATATTATTATTTATAAAATCAATATTAATTTACTTTTACCTTTTTCTTTTCTCTCTTGAATAATCCTTATTAGAGTGTGATAAAAAAAAAAAAAAATTATTTATTTGATAAATTGTTTTCTAAGATCCAATTAATTATCCAAATATCTTCACATTTAAAATGTCTAAATTCAACTTCGACTCTTTTGGGTCATTCTTTTCTATATATATCTCATTTTAGATCTTCATCTTCTACAGTTGAGCCAAAGCTACATGAAGGGAGAAAATGATTGCAGCAAAGGCGAAGGTCTCTGTATTGTAATGGCGTCAATTGCTGCAAGCTCCATAGGTAAATTCGGCAGCCCATTCTGTAGTTTTTTTGTCTCTGTGCAATTAGATTTTCGCTCTTAATGATCCGAGGGTTTCACTGTAAAATTTCCTCTTTTTCTCAAGTGTTTCGTTGTTGAATTAATGTGCTTTTATGGGTTCAGTTAAATCGAAAGCTGTCTGTTCGGCGGACCGCAGATTTTCAATGTGTATGCAAAAATGGCTGACAGCCAGTTTACTACTTGTGCTTTTGTTTTGATTATAAATAAATGTGCTTTTATGGGTTCTGTTGTTTGAAATACAGTGAAGTGTGTGTTTTGGGTCACTGTTGATTGTAATGAATTAGTGGGTTTAGAATCGCGTCGTTATGTTTAGGTTGCATATTGGTTTGGAGTTACTGAAATGTAGTGAAAAAAATTGGATGTGGTGTTAGTTGTTGAGTGAGGCACTTCGCCGTGGCGATCAGGCTAAATAGAAGCTTGTAGCAAAATGTAATTTTGGAAATCATTGTAACATGGAAATTTTCGGATAATGCTTTGCAAATGCGAAAGTCCCTCTTGTTGTCGTAAGCAAACCATATATTCTGTGGCATTTTTTTGTACTTATGACAATGTGGATTCCAACTTGTTGGAGTGAAGTAATCTTCACATTGACATTTCAAGAAAAATGAATGTTTACTAGGGGACGCCGATGAAGTTATGGTAAATGTAACTAGTCGAACAAGAGTGAGTTTTATCATTTATGAGTATTAATATAGAGAGCTTGAGATTGTTATTGAGTACTCTGAAGACAATGAGTAACTACTAATCTCACTCTGGTGATTTATGATTCAAAATCGATGTCGGGCATTGGCATTCGGTGGAAATGTGCCAAAATATACTTAAGAGGAATGTGATGTTGCACACGAGCTAAGAATAAATATTGGATAATGTAATATTCCTAGCACTGATATTCAATGCAGGTAGAATTCTGATTGAGCTGTTTTTCTGTCTTTGATCACACTTTAAAGCTACTTTCTGAGGTTTCTTTCTTTTCTTTTTTCTTCTTTTCTCTTCGATCAAAAAGATATTTGGAGAGTGAGTGTGTGTTTTTTTTTTTTT